GGTAATAATTTTCAAAAACAGCGTGTTTAGAATTCTTACCCAAAACTTTGCCACTCACACATATAAGATACTCCGGCTCTTTGGACAAGTTCAAGAGTAAATTTTCAATATACTCTTTCATGATGGCTCCAAGACTTGACACAATTGAGATAGGATGAATTTCTATGCCACTTGTCAAATTTTTCTTCTTGTCAGTAGCATGTTTCCTTTTTTTAGACTAAAATATACCACTGCCAAAAAAGCAAAAAGTAAATCTGTTTTATGAAGAGACACTTTTTTAACAGCCAGGAGTATAGAGGTACCCTATATAATGGCTGCGAGAATAGAATAGTGTCTTTTTTTAAGGTTAAGAGAATGGTGATGGCCTTTATATAGCCAAGAAATAGATTTTAGGTTTATTCATCTTTATAGTTATAGCAGGAAACCTTTTCATGATATTTCTTTCTTCTATTTTACCATTTTCCCCAAGGTACCTTACTTAAGGAATGTATGTTTCTTTAGAAATTTTTTGAATTTCTTAATTAGTTTAGTATCTGTCTCTTTTTTCCAGATGATCAACAAATCTTAATTCAATTATATATTCTTTAAGAAAAACCATTATTACACAAATTACAACTGCTGTCAAAATTTAAAATCAAGCTGGAATAAAAATATTAATTAAAAATTAAGATGTGCAAAAGTAAGTGAAACTTTACAAATATTTTGTAATTTGTTTGAAAGGTTTTTCTTAATAAATGTATAGTTTAAAAAAAAAAAAATTTTTTTAAAAAAAAATATAATGGTTTAATTTACTTTTGTGCAGCACTGGTGTATATACATATATATAATGTATCTATCTATATATCTATCTTTCTATCTAGAATTAATGTAAGTAAAAGGTTTGTCACTTAGCTGATTGATGTTACCTTCAGTTTCCTGGCACTGGAGTTTTGCAAGCGGACCTGTCCTTTCCTTCGTCAGGGAGTATCTGCAATTGACTGCTTACATTATACTTCTTGATTGTTAAATCAGTTTTACCCCAAGCAAGGCAGTAAAAGCACTAAGACACCAGTAGTTACTGAGTCTGAAAGAATTAGAAAACATGCTTTGAATTTTTGAAGATTAAATTTAGTGAAAAGCATGGCGCCAGAAGAGTTCCACAAACGAGAAGTGCAAGAAAAGAAACTGTTAGCATAGAACTTATGGTTGCATCTAGCTGATCCAGTTTTAAATTGAGGGGACCTTGTTGCAATTCTAGTACTGTGCTTAAATTCATAAAGTCTAACTATAATAGCAAAGAGCTCATCTGAACAATTACCATGAAAGGTTTTAATAGAAAAGGCACAGAGAAGCAGCGTTATGGCAGTGTGAAAGTGACTGAAGCTGAGATGCCAGGACAGAACCTATAATATTACTGATTGTTCTTTGGATTTTATCAAGAATTTCTAAATACAGTGAGTCCACTGTATTCATGGGGGTTAGGGACCAGAACTGTCTGCGAATAGTTAGAATCCGCAAATACTTGTAACTACCCTAAAAGTGTTTATAAGTACCTATTTTGATTGTTAAAACCCCATATGCCTTAAACTTTCATCCTAAACACTTTAGAAACATTTCAGAACCTTTTTAAAACATTTTTGAAAAATAGTATTGGTGACCATACATACAATAACTGTTTTTAATTATGCATAGATCAATACAACCATTGAAAATTCTATATAAAATATGTGTAACAAGACATAAAATATAAAGTTTAAAACATTTTCTAAAAAGAGAACTGTGATGATGCCCCCAGACTTAGCATAAGCCATTTTTAAGACCCCCAGCCGCAGCCCCTAACAAAGAACAAAGCCCAAGTACTAAACATTTTTTGCGTTTGATTTTTACAATGAAGATGTACAATTCTGCCAATTTTACCATAAAAATGGACTGTTATGTTTTAAGTGATGTAAATAACAGGAAAATAATACAAGAATATTTTAAATATGTTCCATGGAAAAATACGCAGATTGAGTGAGTTCTCAGCAAATAATTTGTATATATTTTCTTCAGAAAAACACTTGAATATTCAGGGTTTCCATGAATAACAATTACACATGTTCTAAAGAAAAATCCACAAATGTATGAAGCCACGAATGCTGAAACATGAATAAGTAGAGGCTCATTGTATATAGCAGGAGCACTGGACCATATGTGACAGCAATATTCTAAGCATGGATGAATGGTTGACTTATAAATATATAAGATAGATTTTGGAGAGAAAAATTATCTATCATGACACAGTGAACCAACTTTCTTAGAAGCTGGTCTATCAATGGATTTAACATAACCTTTCAACTTCATTTAAGTTGAGAATATTAGCCCAAGAAGTTGCACTGAGTCAGTCTCTTGGAGACTAGCATCAACTATGCTGATTGGAGGCAGAAAGATGTCTCTCGGATGATTATAAGAGAGCATTTTTGTTTTGAAGGCATTAAAATTAACAAGCCATTCTTTGCCCCAGTTAACATATTGAAGGTCATTCATGACATCAGCTGGCAATTTGACCTTATTGAACTGATCAGATTTGCATCTTAGGTAAGACAAACTATATCGGTGTTCTGGGCAAGACAATAAACTACGTCCAGCAGCAAGGCCTCTGATCAGGAGGTTTTGAGGAGTGTGGAACTACCTCTTAATTTCTGGTGTTCCCAGGTCCACCCAGAATCAGGGTGGTAGTAACTGTTAGGGCCCCAGCTACAGGCAAATAGTTGACCCCGAAGCTGGGATCAAAACACTTAAAGTGTAAAAATAGGTTTTATACCAGCAATACATTATTGGAAAATCCATTTTTGTGAAAAATATTACTAGAAATACTTTTTGAAAAACATATTACCAGCAATAAAATATCTTGTCAGCATTAAATATCCCATCGAGGTTGATATTCCGTAAACCAAACCAAGCCAAACTGATCAGATTTACTACCAACACAAGAGCAAATGGTAATATCATCAGCATAGATACCAAATTGATGCTGATGCCATCAGGAAGGTTGTTAATGAAAATTAAAAACAATGTAGAACAAAGGAAAGAGCCCTGAGCCATAAGTACAAAAAGATCTAGAAGAGTGGCCAGTCAAGATAACTTTCATTCATTCATTTATATATATATATATATATATATATATATATATAAATAAATGAAGAGAGAGAGAGTGAACATTGAAGTCAACACTTGGAGGCAACAGACTTTCATGTGCTAGACTCAATAATCAGGCCACATGTGTTGGGTTGTTTTTTTGACTAAATATATGGGTCAGTGATGCATTGTGGGTAGTCCATTCTAACAGTTATTTTGCCAGGAGTGGTTTGTTTATTTTATTTATTTGGATTGATTTATTTTTCTTATTTGTTTTTATTTATCTTTATTTTATATATTTATTTATACTTTTTGGTTTTCGATGTTTTAGTAATGTAAAAATTTTTTTTGGAAGATTACTTACGATTGTTTATTTAATAGTTTGTTTTTGGTCTGGGAAGGTAATTAAACTATTTTTTGTTCAATTTTTGGATTGATTGTTGCACTCTATTCTAACTGCTATATTAGCGGGAGCAGTTTAATTTGTTTATTATTTTATTTATTCATTTATTTGGATTGATTATTTTTACTTGTTTTTGCTTATTTATTTTTTATTTTTGTTTATTCTAATGGTTATTTTGGTGGGAGTGGTTTGTTAATTAATTTATTTATTTGGATTAAATTAAAATTAATCTAAAAAATAGTTTTAATTACCTTCTCAGTTCAAAACAAACTATTAAATAAACAATCAAAACAGAATTTTTTACTACATTACTAAAACATTGAAAACTGAAAAGAATAAATAAAGATATATAAAATAAGAACAAGTAAAATAATGAATAACCATTAGAATGGACTACCCACAATGCACCACTGACTCAAGAAAAAATCCAAATTTGGCCTGATGTTTCCCTTGAAACAGTCTGTCACTTCTGAGTGTTGACTTCAATGTTTGCTTTTATATTTACATATGCTGTGTCCCTGATATTGAGCACTTTATTACATAAATATAGCAAACCTTAAAACTATATTTCTTCACACATAAACATGTATATATTTTTGTGCCAAATGCCATTTGGGAAAGGCACAAATCTAACTTCCCTTGAGCATTGTACTATCGCTGCTCTTTCTGCACTTCAGTGATGGGCAGAGGGAAAGTAAAATAGTTGAGTGACAGCCACGGAAATGCACTCTTTCATAATTATATAGCTCAGATAGTGGCAACAAAATATCTATTATATCCATTGTTAGTTTTGATAAATGGGGGTTAAGAATGGTACTGTTACTGTTGTGTATTTGTTTATGAAATCAGGAGCTTGGTTGGGGACAGGTTTCACTTCAGCAAAATTTGTCAATCTTTTACACCATTTCCTCTCAAAATTTGAAATATATTTTCAGATGTGACTGAACTTTTATCTTTATTTTATGCATGAACATTTCATTTAAAGTATTTTATTTTTCCCTTCTTTGAACATGCCAAGTTACTTCCACAGAGTTGAATCACCTTCATTTCCTCCATATGCCAAATCTAAAGAGAAAATTCTACTCACCTTTTCCCCCAAGAACTGCTATTTTGTGGAACAAGATCCCATGGAGATGTTTCTTTTAACATTATAATTTTAACTTCTTCAGATCATTATCTCTCCTCTTTATCCTCCTAGCCTTCTACCTTGAGTGGCTCTCAAGTCTTGTAAGTGTGAACTTTAATATGTAATTTTTGAGAAAGTGAAGATGGAAATTGCAGATACAAGACTAGATAATGCTGACTTATCCCAGAATTTGGTTGTATTTTTATGAATGACTTGCCAGCTGATTTATATAAATCCTTGTCAGAGATAATTAAATTAGTAGCTATTGTCAACATTTTCTTTTGTGCTGCTTGCTGTTCAATTGTAATAAAGCTATTTTTTCTCTCTTGTCCAGAAGCCCTCAAGCCAGACGTGGGATTATCAAAGTTGGCAACTATGGCCAACACAAGTGGCATTTGGACCATGAAATGTATTCTCATGATTGAACGGGATTGTTTAGTTATTCATGAAAAAGGAACTGGCGTAAGTTTGAATATTAAAAAAGGAAAAAAAAAATTAATCAGTTTTATTTTTCTTTCTGATTCTCTGTCCATTTTGTCTCTATTAGATTGGATTTATTTTTATAATACCATATCACCTGCTACCTTCATTTTTTTTTTTATTGTTAAATGTAACTTAGTCATTTTGAAGTAACCAGCATAGGCAACATGCTTGCTCTTTCCTTTCAGCAGTAGTGATCCTAAAAAAAAAAAAACCCAAAAAACTGGTAGTAAAGGTTGGTAAAGTCTAAATATTGCTACAACCACTTGAGACAGGGTTGATATTTTAAGTAGCATTACAACAATTAAATATACTGTTTATAGCTGCAGGATCATTGTTTTTTTTTCTTTCTTTTTACTAACTTCATTTCATTCTTTTAAGTGTCATGTCCCTTCAGGACGAGGATGATCATGACCCTCTACAGATTCCTATTATTATCAGTGTATTGCTATGCATTTATTGAAAAATAATGGAGTGGTTTCCTGTGGCCTTGTCTAAAGATTGGAATCCAGTGTTTTGGTGGAGTTGTACAGTAGGCCCTGCAAACAGAAATAATTGTTTTTACAAATTTTCTTTCATCCTTGCAAAATGTGATCTGAATTTTGGGAACACTAGAATTAAGCAGATGTGGCAGTTTAAATATCTGGGAATCGTCTTGACAGAGGACAGTAAATGCAATACTGAGATCCGTAAATGCATTGGGTGAACCAAGGACTCATTCCAAGAACTGGGCAGAGTATTGCAAGACAGGAGGATTTCTTTGGTAACAAAGAAAAGAATACTGAGCTGTTACATGACATCTGTCCTCCTTTACGGCAGCAAATGTTGGACGATTTCCTCAAAGATGAAGAAGATACTTGAGGCAACAGAGATGTGGTTCTACAGAAGGATGCTAAGGATATCATGGACTAAGTGTGTGAGCAACAGTGAGATCTTAGAGGGATTGCAAACAAGGAGGAGGCTTATACTTAACATCAGAAAGAGGCAGCTGAAGTTTCTGGGACACATAATGAGGAAGGAGGGCCTGGAGAATCTGATACTCATGGGTCGAATAGAAGGAAAGAGACAAGGGAAAACAACGTGTGATATACCTGGCAGCCTTAAGCAAGTGGATGACAGAATGTGTTCTGGGGGAGGAAGCAGAGGGAAGGAATTTGTTGAGAGCTGTAAGAAACAGAGGGAGGTGGAGAGCCATGATGCCATGATTGCCTACATCCTGAAAGAACATGGTACATAAAAAAAAAAATAAAGAAAGAGTAAGGACTAAAGATTATGAATATCAAAATATGTCCTGAGGATTGTGTTCAAACTTAAGACACTGTCACCACAATGTTGACCTCAGTATGCACATGTATATCAAAATTAAAATAAATTAAAATTATCAAATTAAAATAAAGTAATAAATAATTGCATTAATAAAAAATAAGTAAATAAGAAAATAAAAATTCAATAACATTTACTCACTTTGGTTTATTAGGAATTAAATAAAGTCAAGCATCTGTCATAGTTTACCTTGACTTTCACAGTTAGCCATAAGAATATTTTTGAGTGTTCTTAAATTTAAAATTTTTGAAAAGCTAACAATATTTCTGTTCATAAATATATATAAAATAAAAACTTTACATTTGCCTTTGTTCATCAGTGGATGAAACATGTTGCTAAATAAAATTTTCCCATATATATATATATCTTGTAGCATGCCTATGGATGATAATGGGTTAGCTCCCATTCCTATAAATATAGTAGTGAATATTGTATGTGGTCTAGAGTTGGAGATTCATTGTGGAATTCACTTGACTCACTTCTAGCAGTTGACTACTACTTCTACACCCAACTGGTATATCTTATATATGATCTTGTCACAAGTATTATCATTCATTAACGACCTTTGTTTGATTATTCTATTCAGTAACCTTCCCTAGGTTACAGCACGCACACACACATATACACACACAGTGTGTGGGGGATAAATGATAATCTAAATAACATCTGCCATCTCATTTTATATATTTACCAAAATTACACAAAAAATTCTAAAGAGTAAATTTATTCAATAAAATTGCCATTGGCTTCAACCACGGCCTCTAGATGACTTCAGAATCTCCTGCATCTCTTCTGGATGGTCTTCTTGTTTAAGTTGGTGAATGCTGCCATAAACCTTGCCTTTAGTTCATCTTTGATGTTACAAGGAGTTTTATAATAATCAAGGGGGTTGCAGTCTGGGGAATTTGGTGGCCAGATGTAAGGGTTGTTGTGGTTGCAGAAATTGTCTGATAGCCATGACTGGGTTCTCCTCCTTGTGTGGTGTACAGTCCTGTTGCCAGACATAGGGTCTTCCAGCAGCCACCTTCTTGACCCAAGGCAGCACTGCCACCTCAAAGCACTTGATGTAGTCTTCCGTGTGTAGTCTGAGGCCCTGTGGGAAGGTGAATGGAGTCATAATGTCACCGTCACTAGTGATCACTTTAAATACCATTCTTTATGAATCCTCTGCACTGTCTTCTTCAGATTGACACCCACACACTCTGAAATGTTTGTATTGGAGCTTCCTGCATGAATGCCAAGCAGTACAGCATGGCATTTCCAAATTTCTGGCAGAGTGAATTTTGTCATGGCATCATAAATATGTTTCCCCCCACTGTATATATACACATATATAAAAACATGTCCGCATGCATGCATACATACATATATATACATACATGCACATGAATATACAACTTCAAATAAATCCAATGAATATATCTTAACTTTAATTTTATATATATATATATATATATATATATATATATATATATATATATATATATATATATATATATATAAAATGTGTAAAATTTGATATTTACTATTTTGCTGAAGTAAATGTTTATAGGTAATGAAATTGTTTAAATTGTTTTTTTTTTTTTTTTTCTTTTTATCAAAATAAAGTATTGGTCATGTTTTTAACTTTTTTTAAACAAAAAAACCCTTTTAACCCTTTTCACATAGCTATAAAATGTTACAAATTGGAAACAATCAAATTGCCTGTAACCATATTTGTAACAATTCAGTTTACTGAATTGTTACAAATATGGTTACAGGCAATTTGATTGTTTCCAATTATTTATTTTGTAAATGTATTTGCATAAATATTTCTATTTTTCGCTTCAGGGTGAACTGGAACGTTTTCCGTTTGCGGCATTGCGTAATCCAGTTGCCATTTCCAAACCTGACAAAAGAGAAGTCTACAACAACCTGGTGTTGTTGACTGTTGTAGACAACAGCGGAAACAGGGATTCTCAGGCACACATGCATATTTTCTTAGCTGGTTCAGTCCCTGTAAGGACATTTTTAATTTTTTTTTAATTATTAACTTAAATTTTTTTTTTTTTTTTTTTTTTTTTAATTTAAAATCTATTTTTATTTTTTTTTTTTTTTTTTTTAATCTGTTTTATTTTAACCTTCTAACTGTGGGTGATAGGAATTTGTCATTGTAATTCTTCTATGAGTCACCTGTTGATGACAGAAATTTTGACTAATAACCTAGTCTAGTAAATTTATCACTGCATTTACAAACTGACAACTGAGTTGTTCATGCCCTAGTTTAAGTGGTGAAGGTCATTTTAAAGAACAAAAATGAGTTAATCTTATTTATTAGGCCTTTCTGTGTTTCCATATAACAAAATTTGAAAAAAATTATGGAGACACAGAAAAGCCTTTCCTTTCGATTTTAATGATGGAAAGTTTTTTGTTGTGAAGCAAATTAACTGGATAATATTTTATACTGTAATATGTTTGAGAAAAGTGATATATTTTTTTTTCTAGCCAGAAGACAAATTTTCTTTAAAAAATTATTTAAAAGAAAAAAATGATTTATATTGTCAAATGAAATTTCTAAAAAAGCCATGTTCATCCTTGAGAACATCTTTCAGACAGGCAATCTTGGATAATTTTTGAAAAACAAGATAGACTTGAACACGAGACCTTAAGAAAATTACAGAACTATTTCTTCTATCCTTAGAAAAAAAAGTATTAAGGTCCTTAGGGGTGGATAGGTCCAGCTGCACATGGTCATTTTCTTGTCCAGTGTGTTCCACTGGCCAAATATGGGTGTATCTTTGTTGGTTGTTTCAGTTCAGCTTGCACTCTCTGAAGTGAATCTGTTTTTTCAATGGCAATCGTGAGTAGTTTGTTGTGAAAAAAGGAGTTGTTAACTTCTTCTGGGGAGCACGGTAACTTGTTTCTTGCGTGAGCCTAAAGCTGATTCTCAAGGTTGAAGCTAGATGGGATAACTTAAAGACAAAGAACCACTTTAAAAATGTAACAATAATTTATTGACATGGAAACATGCATTGTCTATACATCTGAGTAACAAAATGGTCATTCCAAATATTTTGAGACTTTGGTTTCAGTTTTTTCTTTTTACCAAAATTATAGTAGTTTTTGGTTTTTCCCTGCTACTCAATTTTACCCCTGGTTTCTATTGAAAATTGTAGCAGTCGTTTTTATCTCACAGTCCCATCCCTTTGTGCCTGTGTGTTCATTTCATCCACAGAATACATGTGTACTCTTTTCTTTGAGCGATGTGGATTTTCTTAGCACCTTGTCTTGAGATCTACTGATGATTCTTTAAACCAAATGCTTCACCAGTTTATATAAGCAATCCCTCTTGGGTGCCCCTATTCCCAGCTTGACATTGAAATATGTAAAAATTTCAATCTTTATCTGGATTATCTTAATGGGTCCATTATACCAAAAAACACATGGTTCCAGCAAAAACAACACTTCTCCAACTTTTAATGAGAAGTAACTTATGGTTTAGCATAGTAATACGTATCCATCTCTGATCAGATTTCAGCTTGAAAATTCAAGCAAATATTTTTTGCTTTTTCATGCAACTAAATATTGAACCAGGGCCAGTGACCTAGGACACCAGGAAAGTTGGTTCATTGTATTGTCAGAAAATTTTTCTTGTCAGACCCCATCTTTCACATTTATAAATCTACCATTTGTCTGCATTGAATGCTGCTGCCATATCTGGTCTAGTGCTCTTGCTGTATATATTGAGATTCTTGACTAAATACAAAGAACGATTTGTAATGTAATTGATCCTGATCTGGCATCTCGACTTCAGTTTATTTTCTCACCATCTTGCCATGGCTTCCCTCTGTCTTTTCTACAAATATTTTCATGGAAACTTTTCTGATGACCTTTTTCCTTAGTGTCTCGACTGCATGAATTTAGGCGTGCTACTAGATTGACAACTAGGTCTCACCATTTTATTGTTAAATTAGATGCAACTGTATGTTTTATTCTAACAGTTTCTTTTCTCGCACTTTTTACCTGTGGAACTCCTTTCTGATTACTTGCTTCCCTGTCACATACAATCTTCAAAAATTTAAATGCAACAGCAATTGCCATCTTCCATCTTCCTGAATCCTGTTCTTTTATTGTCTTTTCTCTTTACTAAAGTCTTCTCATTCTCTTTCACACCTCATAACCCTCAGGGTTCTAGTAACATTATCGCTTTGGTTTGGATGAAATGATTAAAAAATAAAAATGATCTTAGTTGATTTCTAAAATTATTAATCTGTGTCACTTTAGTTTGACTTAAGTACAGAATCAAACGTGACCTGAACTCTTATGTTGACCTTTGATCTCTGGTGGGAGGTGACAAGGATTGCTTCTCATAGGCATAAAAATATATCTACTTTTCTGCATGATTTAAGTGGAATTACCGCCCAACAATTGGTGGGGGGGGGCTCATTTTATTATGAGACATTTTTAATGAAGCTATCTAGTAATTTTACTGACCTGTGGTATCTAACTATCTGTAGACTATAAAACGTGGTAAAAAATATTTTGTAAATACAGTGCAATCTCGGTTCTCGAATGCCTCATATGTCAAACAAATCAGTTTTCAAACAGAAAATTCTAGATGAAAATGCCTTGCTTATTGAACAAAATTTCGGTTCTCAGACAACATTGCCAAACCGAGTTAACCCAAATGGAATAATTTCTGAGTCAACCGCCACGTTGTATACATTTGTGCGTTATGGCATGCTTTTCTTTTCTAATTTTATTGTACTGTGACATTTTTTTTTCTCTACATTGATTCCTATTGGAAAAATAGTTTCGGTTTACGAACATTTCGGGTTATGAATGGCCTTCAGGAACAAATTAAATTTGTGAACCACGGTTCCACTGCATATTCATTTTAGTTTTGTAATGAGTGAATGTCTGTAAGAAATAAACTATTTTCAATTATTTTAATATTGGTGTTTTATCTTAAAATGTTTTGACTGGCTTTTTTATATGTTTTATAGGCTCAAGAAATTGTGAATGAAATAATAAGTGCAAAAGATGGCAGGCCTTTGTCTCATGTGTAAGTTTGCTTTTTTATTTTCTTTTTCTTAAAAAAAAATGGTTTTTCTTGTCTTTTACAATTTGTTTGTTTTTTTTAAAAAGAAATAAAGTAAGATTCATCTCTCTGGTAAATGTTGGATGTTTTTATTTAAGCATTTTTTATATTTCTTTTGAAAGGAAAAAAAAACATGGTTTTATGCCTGGAACATTTCTTAAATAAAACCTCTGTCTCTCCAGATAGCAAAAAAAAAAACAAGACAATTGAATGAATTGAACTGGAATTTGGAATATGTCTTTTTGAACCTATAAGTAAAAACAGTAGGCATATCCTGTAGCAATTTTTCAAATGTAGCTTAGATGTGGTACAAGGCCAAAAGTATGGGACATCCAGTGAGGATCAAACTCACTACTCAGTCGTAATTATTCTAGCGAGACAAATTTGCTAACCATTACACCGCCTCGAGGTGCCCCATCCTATATGTCAATTTGATCAGTCTTTCTTTGAGTCAAGATTAGCGATATAATTAGTTAGTATTCATGCGTGTATGTCATCCCTGAAGCTTAAAGGATATTGAAAGCACATTATTATGCAAGATCCTAAACCTATAATAAAACTCCCCTCAGTCCCAACTGCTACTATTAGCATGTACCTATAACCGGAAATCCTCAATATCTGGTTTGTTGTCACTTGACTCTAAAAGTTTTCCTTTATTATTTTATTCTTTATAGTCAAGTGGTTTAAGGGAATTTTTAATTTGGTTAAAAAAAAAAAGACTAAAAAAATAGTTCAAACAAGCATTTCTCTTTCTCTCTTTCTCCCCCTCTACAACATGAGGCACTTTAGACACAGATAAAATCACACACTGTCCCCTTGTATATGACTGTCCCAATAGTGTCATATTTGTATCTGCTTGATTTTAAAAATTTCTACAGTACAGCTTAAAAAAAGATCTCTCTAGAAAGTGCTTCATATCTTTTTAACCTTTCCCTTTTTCTTTTTTTTTTTTCCTTAAATTGGTGGTCAGAGCACTACCTGTTCTTATCTGAGGACAAAAGGTCTTTAACTTATTGTAAGATATGATTAAAATGTTATCTTTAATTGGAAATGGTATTTTTGTTTTAGGAATACCAGAATCCCTCCACCACCAAACCAGCCTGCCCCAGAACCACCAAACCATGTCCGAGACAAAGTAAATTCTTTTGAACGCAATATGCGAGAAGCAGGTTTGAAATAATTATTTTTATTTTATTTATTAAACTGTATCCTCAGTTTTTTCATGTTTTGACCATTTTGCTTAAAGTTCATATTTTTTTTTTGAATTCACCTGAAAACATGGAAAATTTCTAATCTATATCAGTGAAAATTTCACTTTCAAACATTATAGTTTATAAAAATGGAAAACACTGAAAATCCCTGGAAATATAAACTAAAAAAACAACACTGCTCTCTGCAAATATTTCTGGCCTTTAAAGAATGATGGCAACTCACCTTCTGTCAACTGGAACATTATAAAAAGAGCCAAATCTTATAGTGTTCTGGGTAAGACAATAAACTACGCCCGCCAGCAAGGCCTCTTTTCTTTCTTTCTTTTTTTTTTTTTAAATTCTTGGTGGAAATGTATAAGAATATACCATAAATGGTCCCACCAAGTCTCAGAAGATTTCATTGAAAATTGTGTTAAGAAAATTTATTTTTTTTTTATTTTTATTTTTTTTTTCAATAATTCTAATTATTTTCTTATCCTGTCTTTAAGACCGTCACCAGGATCCTGTTGGATATTCAACCGCCGCTGTCAGAGATCAAGACGTGGAATCTGTCTTGAGTGAGAAAACGGAAAAGGATGTGGTGAGTATTTTGAAGAACTTGCTAATTTTGAGAAATTCTTTGAGAGGGTAAAAAATCTCATCTCAAAATAAAAATGCAGAAATGAAACTGCAAAGGACACAAAGAAAACAAGAATGAGAGTAATTTCGTATTTCTTTTTTGAAATGAGTAAATTTCCAAATAGTTTAATTATTTCAAACAATTCTCATCTTGTTATAGATAAGTTTCAACCAACTACTCTTTGGCCATCATCAGCAATGATAACCAAATGTCAAAACCATCTGACACTGAATGAATATAAAGGCTTGAAAAATATGCCATTAATGTCTTGTTTGGAACTTATTTCTTAATATAATAAAGAAATCAGACACTTTCTTCTCAAGGACTGTGACTTTGTGGAACAGACTCCCAGTAGGATGTTTCCCTGATCAATACAATCTTGACCTCTTCAAATCTAGGATTAATCATTATATTTCCTACATAACTTCATGAACTGCACTTATCTTTTCTTTTGCTCTTACAGCACCACATATACCTTCTGACTTGAGTGACTCTTGAATCTTATATTGTGTGAATATTAGTAAAAAAAAACCAAAAAACTTTGACATGTTTGCTGCTATATTAGATATTTGAACCAATCTCTATCTATAAAAGGCAGGATGTGCATGCATGTGTGAGTGTGTGTGTATAACGAATGCACGGCCACAATTTTTGATGGATTTGCACCAAAATTTACATGCACATGCTCCAAGTTAGCAGGAAGGCCAAGACTGACTTTGCATTTCCCAACTCCCATCGATAGTGGAAATAATCGATTTTTTTCATGCTTCTACGGCAGTTTTCATGTAGTTTGCGGCCATTTTGTACTGGCCAGAGTGAGAGCCTATAGCTGGCTGCCATAAATGTTAACTAGCATGCTAGCATGCAAAAAAAAAATTGATAGCTGCATTCGCTTGCTTAAACTCAATGTTGATTCTGATTCCACAGAACTGGGTTGGGTGTGAAAAAGTATTTGTTGTTAACATTCTTTTTTCATTCGGTTTTTCCAGTTATGAGTCCTTTTTTTTTTTTTTTTTTTTTAAAGCGGATCGTTTTGTGTTCATTTTGTTTAGTTTTTTTTTCGTAACAGATTTAATGTTTAGTATAGAGCTTCGAAAAAATTCGCAGTGTGTGATAGGCAAGAAGTAAGGCATGTAGCAACATCAGAACGGCAAAGGGCACTCCTTTAAAGGCAAGGACGGGCAAAATATTTTAAGTCAAGTGATAGCGATTGCTGTATGAATCGTACGATTTTTGAATCAAGCATGGGTAACGCCAGGCCATGCTGCTAGTTTTATATAATTTGATTTGTTTTTGGTAGTTACTAAAAGGAATTGCTAAAAAATATTTATTTTATTTTGGCAAAATAAAATATTTTCTTCACTGTCCATGGGGCCTAAAATATGTTGTGTGTCTCCTTCTCTTTCTCCCCCCACCTCCCCTCTTTTCACCTCCTCTTTCACCTCCCTCTCTTTCTCTACCTCCTCTCTTTCTCTACCTCCCTCTTTCACCTCCCCTTTCTACCTCCCTTTCTTCTACCTCCCTCTCTTTCTCACCTCCCTCTTCTCTACCCTCCCTCTTTCTCTACCTCCTCTCTTTCTCTACCTCCTCTCTTTCTCTACCTCCTCTCTTTCTCTACCTCCTCTCTTTCTCTACCTCCTCTCTTTCTCTACCTCCTCTCTTTCTCTACCTCCTCTCCAGTATAGGAAATCTGAATCAATTATATGTATCACATACATATAAGTTCAGTTTTATTTGGTTTCAATTAACTATAATCCAAACAGAAAATAGACAATTTATAACATTTCTTTGCTAATGGTTCCAAGGTACAAGACTAATGGTGCATGTCAGATTGCTTATGTTCAAGGAAAGTGCTTCCTTTAAAAGAAAAGATCAAAATTCTTTATTTAATAAAGACAAACTAGTGTGCTCATTTGAAAGCAGCAGAGTTTGGAGGTGAAGGCATAAACATCCAGTGACATTGCACGCAGCACTTATTGTTGTGAATCTACTTTTCTATGTCATCTACCTTACCAATTAGGCTATTAAGGACAAATGTTTAGAGTAATTTACATAACTTTTGTTTATTTTCATAAAATGCATACGACACTTTTTCTCTCTCTTTACGTACACTTCTGTTACTTGATGAAACAGTCAATTTCTATTAATATTATATTTGTATTTATTTCACCTTAATTTCAATTGCATTTTATTGGAACTGACATTCTGCAATTATGAACAAGCTATATAGAGTGGAAATAAATATCTATGATGCTTCTTGTATTTATATTGCATAACTGGTTAATTGAACTTTAAATCTGTCATTAATTATGGGTTGAAAAAAAAAAGGAAAATCTGTTAATAGATTGTTAAAAATGAACAAAATCTGTCGGTAATTATGGGTTGTTAAAAAATGAACAAAATCTGTCGGTAATTATGGGTTGTTAAAAAATGAACAAAATCTGTCGGTAATTATGGGTTGTTAAAAAATGAACAAAATCTGTCGGTAATTATGGGTTGTTAAAAAATGAACAAAATCTGTCGGTAATTATGGGTTGTTAAAAATGAACAAAATCTGTCGGTAATTATGGGTTGTTAAAAAATGAACAAAATCTGTCGGTAATTATGGGTTGTTAAAAATGAACAAAATCTGTCGGTAATTATGGGTTGTTAAAAATGAACAAAATCTGTCGGGTAATTATGGGTTGTTAAAATGAACAAAAATCTGTCGGTAATTATGGGTTGTTAAAAAATGAACAAAATCTGTCGGTAATTATGGGTTGTTAAAAAATGAACAAAATCTGTCGGTAATTATGGGTTGTTAAAAAAAAAATAAAATGAACAATGGAATTGAAATAAATGTGGTAGGTTTGGAAAAATGTACCTTTCTTTGTCTTTTCTTTCAGCAATTGTTAAATCATTGTTTTGATGACATTGAAAAGTTTGTATCTCGACTGCAAAAGGCTGCAGAATCTTACAAGGAACTTGAACGAATGAAGAAAGAGAAAAGCCATAAAGGCAAAAAAGCAAGACAGGAACTGGGTAAGTTTGTCTGAAAAAACCCTTGAACAAGTTTTTCAATTAAAGTTTAACAGTCTTTTACATGTCATACCTTTTCAGGATCTTCATAACTTCTTGTTTTTAAGTTACATTATTTATTTCATCTGTGGGGTGGGTAGATTACTCTTGTTCCAATTCTAAGGAAGAAGTTACATTTAGTCTTTTTTTTTTTTTTTTTTTTTTTATTACCCAAAGACTGCTTCCCTGCACTTTACACTCTTTAACCTTTTCAAGTCCCCTATCTACCATATTCTCCTGATCTTTATTTCCTCCTGTGGATGTGTGGGTGGTGTAATGGATAGCGGCTCAAAATGAAAAATTGGAGAGTAATAATCACAGAGGTGGAGGGGACCCTGGAGCAACTTTTTTTTAATGAGTGAATTTTTTTTTTTTTTCTTTTTTTTTTTTTTAAGTGATAGAATCATGATCCAGTGAGTTGAATTAGCTAATGTTATTCTTAGGGTATGGTCTAATACCCATTTCATATGGCATCAAAATTATCTGGTAATTGTCAAATTTAAAAATTTACTTGTGGGTTTGAAGCAACTGAATCTTTAGCTGTACAGGTTTATTGAGTCCACCAGAATCTATTAATAGACTACATTTTGGCAATTGGATCCTTGAATCTATTGACGTTGGTTGTGAAAGGGCCCACATATTTTTTCAAGCTCCAAGGTCCAAAAATGGTCCACCATTGGCAAATACAGTGAGGAAAAGTAAGAATCCATCTGTTTCTCCACTAGCTATGGGTGAAATAGCAGGATCGACTGGGCCCTGTTGTCTTAGCTGGTAGTCAGTTAAGGAGAAATAAAAACTCTGAATTCAAACCAGCTTAGAGTGAGTCAGGCTATCTTGTTTAAGACACACCACTGCTTCAACAGCAGTGGAACATGTGGTGTTCTTATGACTGGGTTACAGAACTTGTGATTGTGAATTCTTGTTTAGGAAAGTGTAACAGTTGCACATGCAAACATGAATATTAATATTAGCAGAGATAAATGTTTTGAAAGAAAAGAAAAAAATTGTTTGATCTGAATGTTTTTGGCTGTTTTAAATAATTTAAAAAGAAATTGTTTATTTATTTTTTTTTTTTCAGAAGAGAAATTGGAATTAACTGCCCAGCCTCCAAAGGGACAAGATTATACTGACATTTTCCAAAAATTTAAACTGTCATTCAACTTACTTGTAAGTGTGAGAGTTTTTATTTTTGTTTGTTTTTAAGAAGAAATAACAACTTAAATGAATTAGCAGGAGGAAAATGCTTTTAATGAAAGATCATATATGCACACCATTTTCAAGTCAAAAGTAATTTTTTTCCCCAACCAAGGATAACATTTTTGAAATTTTCATGTATAAAACTTTGTTAATGTTGTAAAAATGAATATATTAAATTGTATGTACAAAAATAAACATGGAAGAACAACAAAGATAACAAAATTAAATCACTATGAAGAGTTGGATTGAAACAATAACAAAGAATTAGCTGTTTGATATTTTTATATTTTTGTTTTTAATTGGCTCTAAAGAATGAGGATTGAAAACCATTTAGTCTCTTTTTTGCTACTTTTTTTTTCTTGTTGTTCATTTTTATGGGGGATTTATTTTATACCCTTGCTCTTCTTCCCAGTTACTTGTTTTTGGCATACAATTTTAATATGTCCATTTTGGTAGCATTAATAAAATAAAAAAAACAACAAAAATTAAAACAATTTGAAGACATTATAGATTGGGTCTAGATAGCTTTCTGTCTGTAAGCAAAAAGAATGGCTGCTGGGCCTTAATGTAATTGGAGTGATCATTATTTTATTTTATTTATTTTTTTTTTTTTGCTGATTTCCTGGCTATTCTTTATTTTTTTATTTTTATTAAACATTATGTACACAATATGTGGTGGTATCAAAAAGTTTCTGAACCCTTTATATTAAAAGAAAAGCAACAACAAAAAAACCTAGTAAATTTAAGTAAGTCTTAACATCATCTTCAAAATAGTCACCTTGTGCAGCAATACACCGGTTTTCATGTTCCTGCCATTTTTGGAACCTTGCCTCGAAGCCATTTTCCATAAGGAAGTTGTGGACCTTCTGCACTTTGCTCTGGATTTTCTCAACAGTGTTAAAATGGCAACCTTTAATCTGCATTTTTAGCATGGAGAAGAGATAGTCTGCAGGTGCTAAATCTGGTGATTAGGGTGGGTGCAGAAGTGATACAATATTGTTTTAGGCTAGATGCTCAAGAGTGAGGAGAGCTCAATGACAGGACACATTGTTGTCATGAAGAATCCAATTCTTTGTGCTCAACAGATCTGGTTGCTCTTCTCAAATGTCCTTCCTCAAAAGCCTCAAAACAATGCAGTAAAACTCTTGATGGTCTGGCCCTCAGGGACAAATTCTCGATGCATAATACTGTAGATGTTGAAAAAAATAAATGAGCATTCTCTTGACTGAACTGTGGCTCTTGTGCCTTCTTTGGTTCTGGATATGAAGGGCTCTTCAACTGTTTCAACTCCTACTTCGTCTCAGGGTTGTAATTCGTAGACCCAACTCTCATTACCAGATATCATCCTCGACATGAAAGATGGATTCTTAGTAGCATGCTGACAGAGGTCTTGACAGACTTTGATGCAATGTTCTTTCTGTTCAGTGGTCAGCAGGTGGAGGACAAACTTAGCAGTGACACGCTACATGGTCAATTCAAACATTAGGATTGTCTGTACTGACAGACCAACAACATCAACAATAATGTTGATTGTCCTCTGATGATCCTTATGCAAAAGCTTATTAGTTTTCTCCACATTTCCAGGGATGACACAAGTCGCAGGTCTTCCAGGTCACTTGTCATCTTCCAGGGATATTCTTCTGCTTTTGAAGTACTCATACCACTCGAAATACTGCATATGGCCCATTGCCTCATCACTGTAAGGTTGCTGAAGCATGCTAAATATCTCTGTAACAGACTTCCCAAGTTGAACACGAAATTCCATGGTACTTTGTTTCAACATCCTGTTCATGACAAAATCGCAGGCTACAACATACATGTGATCACAAAAACACAAATTTCATGACTTGCAAAGTAAACACAATGATGTCACTCGATACACTGGTGCATGAAGGTCACTGCGAGCTCTCACTGTGCATACAACTGTGTGTTGCCATCTGTTAGCATGCTACAGAACTGGTCTGGAAAGTTCTTAATACCATCTTGTATACACATTTGTCCTCAATTGGCTCTTAAGAGTGAGGATTGAAAACTGGTTATCCCCCCCTTTTTTTGTTGTAATTATTTCAATTCACTTTACAGTTATTTATTTTTATTATGCTTCCTCTTCTCCCCCACCGTTTTTTTTATATACACTTTCAATATATCCATTTTTATAACATTTAATAAAATCTTTTCAAATATTTATAAATTCTCTTGAGTCAATTGTAACCCTTTTTTTTTTTTTTTTTTTTTTAAATTGTAATCTTTTTTTAATCATAAATTAAATTCTGTTAATAGAAATTTTTTTTTTATTTTAAGTTTTTCATTTTATTAGTTTAATTAGATGATGTAACTATTAATCAAGCAGCTTAATTTCAATTTAGTGAAAATATATTCAAATAATAACTTAAATTATATTTGGATGATTGCCACCATTTCCTATTGTGATTTTAGATTCTTTTATTTTATTTTTATTTTATTTAAGAATAAAATGTATATCAGGATTCAAATTTCAAATATTTTCAACAATCTTGATCTAGAACTGGGTGTCGTCAATACGAACTTGTCCTTGACTGATCCGTTTTTTTCTTTGCTATAAAAGAACATTGGAATTCTTCTGTGTTAATGTCCTGATTTGTATCAGGGTTGTATAAGTTAGGTGTATTTAAGCAGCAAGTATTCATCCAAATTAATTATTTATTAAATTGTGTGTAATTTTTTAAGTTTAAACTCTGTTTTTACAATGTCTTTGAATTTCAGGCCAAACTGAAAGCACACATCCATGATCCAAATGCTCCAGAATTGGTTCACTTCCTCTTCACACCACTGAGTTTGATTTACGAAGCCAGCCGTGACCCATCACAAGGGAACCGTGACTTGGCTGCCAGTGTTGTTTCGCCTCTGCTTACAAGGGAAGCAAAAGAACTTCTCTTGAATTGTCTTACATCCAAAGAAACAGATTTGTGGATGTCACTGGGAGATGCATGGATTACGAGTCGGTGAGTTGATGATGTCACTGCTGAAAATGGCAAAGAAATTTGCTATGAGAGGCTGAAATACCTATTTTCTGCTATGATAGGTGTTAAATTTGCAGGTATATTTAAACTAAATGTGTGTAATGACTATTATTAGGCAAAAACACTATTATAAGTTATAGTCCTGTGTTTTTATTTTATTTTTTTTATTTCAACCCTTGCATGGCAGTAAGGTGACTAAGACACAAGGGGTTACTGAGTGTGAAAGAATAAGAAAAAAAGAAACTTTATTAAGGAGCGAGAACAATAGAAGATGAATCAGGAAGACAGTAGATAACGATATTACATTTATATATTTGAAGATCAAAGTTTGCTGAAAAACGTGGAATCGGAAAAGAGTTCTACAAGTGAGAGAACTTACAGTTACATCTAGTGAATACAATTGTGAAATTGATGAGACCTTGCTGCCAATCTAGTACTACACTTAAATTCATAAAGTCTATGTGCCATAGTGAAGAATTCATCTGAACACTTACCATGAAAATATTTATAGAAAAGTCACAGGGAAGCAATTTTACAGAGTTGGGAAAATAACTGGAGCTGAGATGCTAGGTCAGGACCAATAATATTGCTGATTCTATCAAGAAACTCTAAATATATAGCAGGAGCACCGGACCATGTGTGGCAGCAATATTCAAAGTGTGGATGAATGGTAGACTTATAGATATGTAAGATAGATTCAAGAGAGAAAGATTGTCTAGCATGACACAGTGAACCAACTTAGCAGCAGAGCTAGCAACTGATTCAATATAATCTTTCCACTTCATGTAGTAGAGAATGTTAGCCTGAGAAGGTGCAATGAGTCACTCCCATGCAGGTTAGCATCAGCCATACTGATGGAAGGTAGGAAGGGGTATTTCAAGTGATTGATACAGAGAAGTTTCAATTTTGAGAATTTACTAAAGACATTTTACTCATGAATGAATACCTCTGGCTTTCAACCCAGAGGAGACGGGTTCAGTGCTCAGCTGTGCACCAACTTTATGACCACACTGATGATGATTCATTATTTGATAAAATAAGTTCATTACTCCAATGTTAATTCATATGTGACAGCTGTGAAAATTTATCATCTGGAAAATAAAATAGAGAAAAAAAGAAACTTAAAAAAATTAAGGTTCAACTACATCTGCAAGATGAAATATAATTGTTTTGATAAAAAATAATATTACAATGAAGTGATTTTAAATTAAAAACAAAAAGTGGCCATGTTTAATATCATGCCCACAAAAAACAGTGTATAAAAAGGACAGTTATTCCCTTTGCACTGCTATTACTGTATACACTTTTGACTCCCTCAGCAATGCTTAGTTTTTATCGATCCACCCACGAGGATAGAATGTGGCACAAGGCCAGTTTAATGTGGGTATCCCCGAACCCGTAGGCTTGGCCAAAAATATAGCTTTTTTGAACCTGCCTTGACGGATTCAGGCCCTGTCTACCTCCCCGAACGAAACCTTGCCCTTCGGCAAAGCTTTATCGGGTTCCTCTGCTAACATGAGAGAGTTCGACAGACGCCGACTCGGAAGCTCACAAAGGCAGCGTACTACACTTTGATTATAGCCCCCGGGCCGAGCAGCTACAAGATTATAAAAATCTGTCAACAAAGTACAATGCAATATTTATTATTTACATTTTATAAAGATTTATTATTTATCATTTTCTAAATAAATATGAAAAGTCTTTATCTAAACATTTATAAAAAAATTATGAAAATATCAAAAAACGTAAACCAACTACAATGCAATATTTTATTATTTACCTTTTTATAAATAACTATAGAGTAAGAAAATTTAATAAACATATGACAAACATAAAAGAATTTTTGGGTCTGAGGCTTGTAACCTCTTTTAGTGAATTTGTGGCAAGAGCAAATGGAAGAAATTTCCAGAAAATGTATTTTTTCAAAATTTGTATTTAGTTACTCATCATTATTTATTTAAATTTTTTTATATTTTTTTGAAATTCAATATTATTTCATATTTTTAACCACTATTTTTCATTGTTACATGTGTTTGAGTTGCTTTTTGTTTTTTTTTGTTATTAAACAGTGAAATTAATAGCAACTTATTTTGAGAAGTCCTTGAGAAAAATTGTGCCTCCAACAGGAATTGAACCTGCATTCCTTTTTCCACTGGGGGAAACTGCTTCTAATTTCTCTGTTTTAATAAAATAAAAGTGGATGGCAACTCAAAACACATATAGTTATCAAAAGTAATGTTTATTGCAATAAGAAAAATAAAAATAAATTTATCATCTGTCTAGATTTCTGAAATCAGGTATTGTAATAATTTACATGGTTCGGACTGTTGTCTTCACTTTTACTGTCACATACAAGATGTTTCGACCATTGTATGCTCCTGCCTTCTCCAGGTGATATTTTTCTCTATGTACACATGATTCAGTGGATAAAAGCGTTGGTTGATTGATCCAAAAAGTGACTTGACCCAAAGAGTTGTGAGTTCAATCTCTGGCCTAAAACACTTAAGTAAACTAAAAGTGTGATATCCAAAGGCATGGCATGTGGAATTAGAACAATCTGCCCTTGTGGACTATTCCCTGATGGAGGCCAGAGTGTATAATAACTGAAATGTTTTGAATGTGACAGTAAAGATGAGGACAACAGTCTGAACATTGTAAATAGTGTAAACCTGGGTGTTAGTCTTGAAAAGGACTTCCAATAAGTTGTAGACCGGGGCAGGAATTGGTTGGTTAACTTTAATGCCTCAAAAACAAAACTGCTCTCTATTACTCACCACAGAGAACCTTCTCTGCCTCCCATTAGAATGTCTGATGCCCAACTCCATGAGAGCACCTCTTTGTGACTGCTTGGTCTCACATTGTCTGCTGATCTGAAATGGAACAAATACATTGAATCAATAACTTCATTCACCACAGGGAAAGTTGGTTCCTTGTGTCGCAGCAGATAGTTTTTCTCGCGTGAGTCCATCCTTCAAATCTATAAATCAATCATTCGCCCTTGCATGGAATACTACTGCCATATATGGTCTGGTGACCCCACTGTTTGTCTTCAGGTCTTTGACAAAATCCAGAGATGGTTATGCAATGTGATTGGCCTTGATCTGGCATATCGTCTACAGTCGCTCTCTCACAGACAAGCCTCCCTCTGTCTTTTCTACAAATACTTTCACGGTAACCGCTCCAACAAGCTACTTTCGCTGGTTCCCAAATTGCATGAATTTAAACGTGCTACTAGGTTGGCATCTCAGTCCCACCCTTTCACTGTTGAAACTTAAATGTAGCTGTCTCTTCTGCTCCAACAGCTTCATGTTTCGCACTTCCCATGTGTGGAACTCTCTTCCTCTTACCTGCTTCCCTGATAACTATAATCTTCAATTATTCAAATGCAATGTCAATCAACATCAGGTATCTTGATCTAATTCTCTGTCCTTCTCTTCATCCTTTCTTCTATCACGCCTCTTTACTCTTGCTCCCGCTCTCTGTAACCCCTTGCGTGCTAGTGGCATCCCGCCTTGCTTGGGGTGAAATGCTTAAAAAAAAAAAAAAAAATATTGTCTGATAGCAGTGCTAAAAATTCTCAACAATTGATACTAGATTAATTTCTTGATTCTTATTTATAATCTCATGTTGATGCAAGATTTAAACTCAGATTATCTTTTTTTTTTTTCTCTGGTTATATAAACTTTCTTTTTTGCACTAAAACCAAACAGTGTTTCATCTTTTTTTTTTTTCTTCATTTTTCCTCAAAATCAATACAGAATTATTTATCCAAGATAATGCCAGAGTCTAACAGGCATGAACTCACTAATGAATTGAGAAGTAACCAGAATTCTAGTAAGAGGACAGTGTTGAGAATATTTAAATCCTTCACCTTTTTTTTTTTTTCTTTTTTCTTATATTATTTAAGAAAATAATTTTGGCAGTCTTGGACCTTTGTGCCTGCAAAAAAAAAAAAATGACAATAGGATGTTTTTTTCCTTGACACCACTATTATTTTAACTACCTTCACTCTTTGGCAGTGTTTATGGTTTTAAAGTGTTGGTTAGAATTAAAGCTTAAACATATGCTGAAAATAAATTTATACATTTTCTTTTGTTTTTGAAAATTTTCAACAAAAATATTAAGCACCATTAGATTGTTTATTTAGAAGAATAATTTTATATTTACAGCACTCTAAAAATTAATACAATTGAATTCAAACTAATGCAGTGCAATAGTTATCATTTACCAATTTATAAAGAAATATATGTAAACAATTTTCTATTCATAATTTATAAACATTTACTAAAATGTTACCAACTATAAGGAAATCCTTATTATTTACCATTTTATAAAGTTTGAATTGGATAGGCAATTAACTGATGTTTTGCCAACCATTCCAATAAACAATTTAATAAATAGTGTTTTTTGTCTATTCTTAAGAATAAACAAAATGTATAAATTCATTTTCATATGTTTAGGTTTTATTAAAATTCTAATCATTGCTTTTTAAAGGAATAAACATTGCAGAGGGGGTGAAGGTAGTTAAAATAATAGCAATGTCAAGAGAAAAACTATCCTTTTCACTTTTTTTTTTTTTTTTTTTTTTGCAGGTATGAATGTCCAATATTAGCATAACTTTTTTATATATTAATATTTTGTAACTTTGATTTTTCAATTGTTTTTCTCTGCAGTGACAAATGGAAACATTTTGTTCCACCTTACACTCCACGATTTTATAATGGTTGGCACCCTGCCCCTTCTCTGGATGAAATGCAAGGGGCTCAAACTCCTGCTGCCAGTCATACATACATTAGTCCACCGATGAGGCCTTTTGATGAACCACCACCCAATGTGAGTAGTAATTCTTTCTTGCTTCCCCGTCAATTCAGAAAACCCCTTAAAAGTTTAATTAGTTCAACATTTTTCATTTTTGACATGAAATAATTGCTGTAATACTTCTTTTCTTTGTCTCTTAGAACAAAGTTTGGAGCTTTTTTAAATCTTGAAAGCAATCTACCATTTTAGAAGATTACTTTTAAATGTTGTGATAAAAAGCTGCAAAAATTTTTAAATGTTGTATAGTGTCAACCCACAAGGTTCAGAGGTGAATGGTCCTTGCTAAAAGTTACAGACTTTATTCACTCAAAGCAATGTTAACCATTGATCAGATAAGGTGGTTGTTTTCACCTGACAATTTAGATATTTCTGAATGAGCTATTCATGGTATTAAACCAGTTCAGAAAAATCCAAGCTATCAGATGTGTGCGAGAAAACGGGGGAAAAAAAAACAACTTCTTGCGACACAAAAAACGAACGCCTTCTTGCAACACAACACTTTGACAGCAAACAGGCAAAACGGCACCCAAGACTGCTGCTGACGGATGACCGACCGCAACGGCTTTTGTCGCCCAAGAAAAGACGCCAAACGACTCGCGCGTCTTCTTGTAGTCCTCAGTCGAGTCCATTATGGTACTCCAAGGTGTGCCTGGCGACAACATGCACACACGCAGTTCGAGGATGTTTCCGTGCATGCTCGTTACAAGATGAATACAACTTTATGAAAGTCTCAATCTGACAAGGGTTTTTTAAGAAAATGTCTCTTGTTTTAATGTTTTGGATTTGTAGGTACAGTGTTGGGTGAAACTACTCATAAAACATAAAAAAATTTCCCCATATGAAATGGGAGTGGGATCATAAAAAGTGAGGGATGAAAAATCATTTAAAGGATTAAAATTGCAAAATTTTTTCCCAACATAAAATGGAGGGATCATAAAAGGTGTCTGTGGGCGAGAGGAAGAGATAAGAATCATTTAAATAATCAAAAAGTGTGAAGCTAACAAATTGGATGTGTCTTAATAAACTGTGTGAGAAGGGGTCAGAAAATGTCTTTAACCTCTTCCCCGGCATAGATATGTATATATGTTTTTACTGAAAGTGTCTTTTTCAGACATGGATGAATAAACACTTTCAAAACATAATGTTCAAAAACCAGTTACAGACGTGTTTATACGTTGATCTTGATTCTTTTTATGCCCTTCTGAGTATGAAATGAGTCCCATTGTCAACTTGTATGTCTGGTAGAAGTGTTAGCCACTGCTTTGGTACTTCAACATACCTCAGTTTCTTAGTATTAAAAGCAAATAAAAAAAAATAAATAGTCTGAAAATAAATTGTTTTTCCCAAAATAATTGGTAGGGTATGAGTTAAAATAAAAATAAAAAAAAAAATATTCTCCCAGTCCCCCTACACACTTTTCTGGCCTTGGTGACTCTTGATTCCTTACTACTGATCTGTCACTAGCTGATGGGCAGCTCCAACTCCTCTGGTCACCTACATACTTCTGTCATGGCTGGACCCACTTTCCTTAACTTCCTGCCTCTCTCTGCTTTTATGGATAATCCTGGGGTCTCACCACCTTATCCATTTGTGTTCCAGATGATTTTGGACCACCCCAAAGCCACATGGGTAGTCAAATCTTCAAGAAACTACTTTTATGACTATATAAAATCATTTATAAAATTTTTATGTTTCCCAATTCAAAGGCAAACTGGAGACATGAATCCTGGAACGCTAACCCCTAAGTTCACTCAAGATGGACTGGAGACAAAATTCCTACAAAACTTCAATAGCTGAGTGGACTTAAAAGGAAGGAATTTATCTCCTTATATTTTAAGATATGTAAGAAATCATATTGTTACACTATTAATAATCTAAGAGTACTTTTGGCGATTTGGCAGTGATCAGAGCTCTTATAATGTAACACTATGATAACCTGTTAGATTAACTTGGTCAACGCAATTTTAATATGGGGGCAAGTGCAAAAAGTAAAGATTGGTGCTAGAGAAGAAAAAGTTAAGAAGCAATATAAACAGAGCATTATGGTTATTCTCAAAGTGTTTTTGTTATTATAATTGCTATTATACCAGCTGTTATAACAACAACAACTATACCAGGCATTTTATAACAACTGGTATAGTTGTTGTTATTGTAATTTCTATTTTAATTGTTTTTAAAGAAATTTTTCTAAGAAAAAAAAAAAATTTCACCTCGCATTCTGGACAGAGGAAAGTCAGTGAGAATAAACCAGTTTTATGGTTGCACATCAGTGTCATTCCTTCATATTTAAAAAGTTTCGTTTTATTTACCAAAATAATCTTCTCTAGAAATTATGGAATTCAGAGGAAAATGTCAGAAAACTTTAAAGATTTGATTGCCAAAAATTTATCTTTTTAAAAAATGTTCTATTACAGGTGGAACCAAGAAGACCAATGGAGAGACCTGTCATGGGTCCAGAAATGTAAGTATGAATCCTTTGATGGATTGGGGTTTATATCACTTTGGCATTAATGCCTTTTTTGTGTCCTTTTCACTATTGAGTTTGACAATGGTCTTGTTACTGGTATGCCACAGTGCTAGACAATTTGCTCAAAATATGAATTCTTGTCATATAACCCTAAAACTTAGTATTATCTACTGCATGAAATAAGAGGAAGGGCCATTGCCAAATAACACTTTGCCTTGCCCACTGATATTTTTTTTTTAATCATTTCACGCTAAGTAAGGTGATAAAGCCACTAACACACAAGGGGCTATTGAGAGTGAAAGAGTTTGAGGAAAACTTTGAGGAGAGAGGAGTAAAAGACTAGGATTTAAGGAGACAGAAGATGACAATTGACTTTGCATTTAAGTTTTTGAAGATTGTAGTTGACAGGAAAGCAAGAAGCTCGAAGAGAGTTGAAGTGTGAGAGAAGAAACTTTAAAATAGAAGTTATGGTTACATTTAGCAATTTGAACAGTAAAATGATAGGACCTAACTACCAATCTAGTACTGCACTTAAATTTGTTGAAGTATCAAAGAAAAGCTCAACAGAATAATTACCATAAAAATATTTATCGAGAAAGCACAGGCATCCTACATTATGGCAAATTGGAAAGTGATATCCGGTCAGGAACAATAATATTGCAGATTCTTCTTTGGATTTTGTCAAGAATTTCTAGATATATAGAAGAGACACCAGACTGGCCGCAATATTTGATGCATAGATGAATTGTAGACTTATAAAGGTGTAAGACAGATTCTGACAAGAATTATAAAGAATGACACAGTGAATTAACTTTCCTAGCAGAAGACCTAGTAATTGATTCAATACAATCATACCACTTCATGTCAGTGGAAAACATCATGAAGGAGAATGTTAAACTCCATCCCAGTCTAACCTCTCAACCAAAGCCAGGTCAGGGATTCTTCTCTGCTATTGCCCAGAATAACATCCTGCATCTGGTTAGGATGACCACTAATGATTTAAAAAAAAATTTCCTAATGTTTTTCCATCTTTTTTTTTTTTTTTTTTTTAAACATTTATTGTTTTTATTTATTCTGGACTTTGTTGTTTCTCTTTTGCTAGCAAAAAACCAGGTCCTCGTTATGTTCCAAACCCTCAATTGCCACCAGAAGATAGCAATGATCAATTCCATGAGGATCTCCGAAAGAAAGGTGCTAAGTAAGTTTTCTTTTCAGTATCTCTTGCAAAAGAGAAAAGGCCTTTGTGTGAAATTGTCTGAATAATAACCTTTGGATTAGGGGTTTTATTTTGACTGGTACTCTTTGATCAAAGTATAAAGCTACAATATATTAGGTTGTTTGGCAAATAATATCTGATTTTAGAATAAACATTTCAAATGTGTTCTAATATTATTCTAACTGTATATTACTCATTCCTAATGATTAACATGTCCTCTTTAATTTTATATTAATCTCTTTCAGAATTTAACTTAAACATCTTGAACATAAAAAATATTATATACTCCTCATCTTGAACATAAAAAATATTATATACTCCTCATCTTGAACATAAAAAATATTATATACTCCTCATCTTGAACATAAAAAATATTATATACTCCTCATCTTGAACATAAAAAATATTATATACCCCTCATCTTGAACATAAAAAATATATCTTGAACATGACAAAGAAGAGATGTTCAGTTTTTTGAAGCAATTTCTGAATATTGTCCTTATGTTGTATCTGATCCTTTCCCAATAGGCCCGTTACATAAGGCAGAAAGATTGGCAATTTTCTGTTCTTCTTCCTTGACCCTTCCGTTTCTACCTGCAGATGCTGATGATATATTTGCAGGGTAGTAATTATTCTGAAGGGTATGCTTGACTCTGATCACTTCCAATTGGTATGTGTCTGGGTCACCATTTATGATTTTTGCCCAGTGTTGTAGGCATTGGACAATCCCTTTCTTTACACTTGTATGGATAGTGGGGATTGAAGTTGTGGGGTATTATCAGGTGAAGGTTGGCTTTTGATATATTGATGCCTCGAACCCATTTTTTTGTGCACGTTTTTAGCATATCCAGGAAGGCTAGCTGATTATTTTCTTCTATTCTGAACTGGATTGAAAGTTTTATTGAGTTCACATCGAGTTGTATTTGTACAGCTTCCTGGTGAAGCCCATGTATGATGGTGTCATCTACATAATTTGGTCATACTATTGGCTTTAATAGTGCTATTTCTAAAGCCATTTCCTCAAAGTAATCCATGTATATGTTTTGCCATCACTCGTGACAATTGTGAACCCATAGCCAAGCCTTCCTCTTGATGGTATATGTCCAACTCTAGTTGGAAGAATGTCTGTACGGAGAACATTAATATTTCCATCAGTTTATCTATTGGAATGTTAGTATGTTTTTCCATGGAAGAGTCTGATAACTTCTCCTCCTACTCATACTTCTCATTCCTTCTTCTTTCTTCTCTTCTTCCTCCTCCTCTTCTTCCTCTTGTTCCATGTCTTCCTCCTCCTCTTGTTCCGCCTCCCCCTCCTCTTGTTCCGCCTCGTCTTCCGCCTCCTCTTGTTGTTCCTCGTCTTCCGCCTCCTCCTTATTCTCATTGAAATTTGAATTCTCATTTCATTTTCTCAGGACTTTGTCACTAGGTAATTCTAAAATATAAAACTGACCTGAATGTTGTAATCAAAATAGAGGGGAAAAAAAAGAGCCAATAAAACATTGTCCGAAGCTTCATGTAATGAAATTCAAATAACTTAAAGAAATAAACTTTTTTTTTTTTTTTTGTTTCTGATAAAAAGGTGACTTTTCTTTGCAGAATCTGCAGTGTCTCCCATTCAAGAGATAAGAAACATCAAAAAGAATTAACAGTGGCTAAAGGAGAGATTTTAGAAGTAAGTATTTCTTCTTGAAGTACACACCTTTATACTACAATGCCTTAATGCATCAAAGAAAATCTCTTAGCATTCCACAGATAGATGACCTCTTAGCATTCCACAGATAGATGACCTCTTAGCATTCCACAGATAGATGACCAGATAGATGACCTTAGCATTCCACAGATAGATGACCTCTTAGCATTCCACAGATAGATGACCTCTTAGCATTCCACAGATAGATGACCTCTTAGCATTCCACAGATAGATGACCTCTTAGCATTCCACAGATAGATGACCTCTTAGCATTCCACAGATAGATGACCTCTTAGCATTCCACAGATAGATGACCTCTTAGCATTCCACAGATAGATGACCTCTTAGCATTCCACAGATAGATGACCTCTTAGCATTCCACAGATAGATGACCTCTTCCAATGATGGTACATTAGATTTTAAGAGGTAACATTATTACCAACACGGTTATAATTTGCTTTATTGACCAATAATGTGGTCCATGGCCATGTGGTATTTAAAATACCTCCAGTTTCTGAATGGTCATCCAAAGTACTGATCAAATGAGAACTGATATTTTCAGTGTAAGCTTACATAGTGATATTTTTAAATTTCAGATGATCATCTGAATTAGTATTCTTTGCCCTTGGTGCACTGATCATCTGTCTTTACCATTATTTTTTCGCCAGGAATAATCTGAATCAAATATATTCTCATCACTCTGATCGGAGATAATTTTTTGTTTTCCTTTAAACTTACAGGCTAATTACTTGTAAGTCTAACAATCATTCTGCCTGATTATAGAGATATGGCTGGTGGGGCTTAATGTAAACAGATTTCAGTATCTTTATAATGGTAATCTGAATTAGCCTTGCTTAATACTGAAAACATGTCCTGGCTATAAGACTGGAGACATTGTTGGTTGTTAATCAAATGTTCAGTCATTGCCAAACCAGTTCTTTTCCTGCACATATGCAAATTTTTCACCTTTCCCTTGCAAATACATGCTGACTGATCCTTGCTTCCAACCTATGATTCATTCTACCTTTATAATCAGCATCACACTGACATTTAAATTGATAAATTACATATCATATCAGCTCAGTAATTGTTATCTTTTATATTCCGTGCTAAGGGAATAAATACTTAACATCAGTTGGATAATTGAAGACAGGTTTATTGTACACAACCAGTACAATATTAAATACAGTACAGTTATACACACAAGTTAATCTAGTAGTGAATGCCACTAATTGGAAGGTCGGACGTGCTTGAGTCTTCTCACTCTTCCCCAAGTCTCTTATAGACAGTTGACTTTATAGGCACTTACTACCTATAGTGTAATCATTCATGGGGGTGACTGGTTATTCCTTAGATCATTATCTAATTTTTTAAGGTTTTTTTTTCTCTTAGAAGACTATAGTTTGGGTACTTTAACAAGAAAAGGGATTTTAACAATTTTCTTTTATAGTAACAGTTCATAAGAATCAATTTTTTAGCAACGAAAGAAATTTTCTTTGAAAAGTTCACAATTTAAAACAACACTTGTTTAAATGTTGGAAGTTAAAACTGAGGGAAAAAGTTGAAGTTCAAAGGTTCACCTCTCTTGGCAAAGCTGCTTTTCTGAATTTCTTTTTTATGAATATTCATATTTTTCAAACATGCAACTTCAAGTTTGAGATAAACTCTTATGGGTTTACGAAAGTTATTTGTATTATAAGAATTCAGAAGATTCTCTTATCTTTGTCAACAGTGACAATCGTAGTAGTGTTTTATCATCCGAGGTCACCATGTGGTCTATTTTTTTTTTCTCAGACTTGCTGCAGACTACATGCTGTACAGTTAAGCTATTATGCCTGACTTTTACCTGAGTGACCTAATCCCTTCTCAGCATCATCCTCATCCTCTTTACACACTGAGCAGGGTCTCCCCTTTTTTTTTTGGTCTATTCTTTTCTACCTTTGCAGCCCAAAATTTTCTCTCTTATATAGCAAACAGGTAGATCAAAACACTCATAAACCAATTGCTTAGGGAGCTTATAGTTTTTATCCCCACTGGTTAAAAAATCAAAAAAAAAAAATCAAGTCATCATCCAAATAAATCATGTCTGTTTTTACTTCAAATTTGGCTGGTTTTTGAAAACATCAAAGCTAGGCTCACCTTGTCTTGGAAAGTTTAAACTGCTTGGCTTCATTTTGGCAGTTTTTTTCTAACATCAATTTGAAGCCTATTTGTTTTTTTTTGTTTTTCTTTTCAAATATTTACAAATCAATTTTCATTCTTTTTATATATATATATATATATATATATATACAAAAATGAATAACTATACTTGTTTGAAAAACCCTCGAATTTTTGATTTGTCAATAATCAAATCAATCTCGAGGGAAAAAATTTTAAAAGAAAGAAAGAGCTACAAACATGAAAGTCTGTAATAAAAAAAAATCGCACAGATGCAGGTTTGAAGCCCAAAGAAAAAACCCCGATACGAGTAAACGACTAACTAACAAAAGAGCTCAATACAACCGTAGAGCAGACCTAGATACACCTAGTGTTCGTATTTTATTATCCCCTCCCCTTTTTGTTGAATAAATCTACATAAGTGAATGTAATGGATTTGACTGGAATTTAAACTTGGCTCTCCGATTCTTCAATCTGAGTCGCTATCCATTACTCCACCATCTTTATTCCAGACGAAAGGCTTAGAAAATGGATGATAATTTCCATGCCATGAGATTGTTTCATATTTCCCCATTTGTTGACACAAAGTATCAAATTTGAAAACTTTGAACAATTTGAGAAAAAAAAAAAAAAAAAAAAAAAAATACAAAATTAATATGTAAACAATCCTGACATAATTATTTTGCTATATAAATAATGTATACTGGTACTTGTAATTTTAAATCGCAAAATATTATAATAAATAAGTTTTGAAATGGAAGTTGGGAGAAGAAACATGCAATGTCTAAATACCCTGTTCATTTCTGTTTTTTAATAGGAAAAATTAAATAATTTAGTGAAATATGTGATGTTGAGATATTAATAGATAATATGGTACAATGTCTATATTTCTGAGATGAGGTATTATGCACACTATTTATATTATTCGGACTATTGTCCTCATCTTTGTCGCCATGTTTATCATAACGTTTCAGCCATTGTACACTCTGGCCTTCTTCAGGTGGTTGGAATGTCGAACTGAACCCTTTATTTTGCTCACTGGGGTAGACTGTTCTAGTTTCACGTACCAAGTCTAATGAATGTCAGTTATCTCCTGTTAATTCCCCTCTGAAAGTTCTCCACTGCCTTAACCAGGTATTTAACTCACACTCTTTGGGTCCTGTCACTGGATCTAAATAATGCCTTTATCCACTGTGCCATGTGTCATGAGGGACCCAAAAGTGTGTGAGTTCAATACCTGGTTAACGTGAAATAAAGGAAAATTAACAAGGAAATATCTAATGTCCATTAGACATGGCATGTGGAACTAGAAGTTTGACATTCCAACCACCTGAAGAAGGCTGGAGCGTACAACAGCTGAAACGTTGTGATAAACATGGCGACAAAGATGGGGACAATAGTCCGAATAATGTAAATAGTGAATATGGTACAACTTTTCAAAAGGAATTTATATAGGGATGGCTGTACTGCAGGGTCATATTATAATTAAGGGTGTAATTTATTCCGTGTTTTTATTTTCATAAACACAGGGGTTGTATTATACTTAAGTCATATTTATACATAAAAATATATAGTAACTCCTCAATTACTTAAGGAGCAGTTAATTATTGTAGACTGATGGCTTGAGTGGTGGCAATGAAAAAATAATTAAAATGAAAGAAATACTGGAAAACCTCATCTAATAAAAAAAAATAAATTCTAAGTAATATTACTACTGTTACTAATGGCTGCCAACTGAGTTTTCAATGAAAACCAGGTAAAGTTAAGATGGAAGAAATACTAGTCACGAATTAATGATTAACAAACATTTATTCTATAAATTCAAGATATATGTTTACTAAAACTTGTTGAATGATGATCTGGATAGTTGCCATTAAAGCAACTAAAATTAAGATGAAAGATACTAAAAAATTAATGGCTGACAATGCTTCATTTAATAAAAATTCCAGATAATATCACTACTTGTTTAATAATATCTATAGAGTGATGGTCTGAGTAGTTGCAATGAAAAGCAACTAAATTTAACAAAATGTTTGAAGATTAATGATTTTATTAGATATTTTTGAAAGTTGATAATCATTTTCAAATTCTGTTTTTTTTTTTTTTTTTCTGTACAGGTATTGGATGATACTCGTAATTGGTGGAAACTGAGAAATTGTAAAGGAGAAATTGGGCATGCACCATTTACAATTTTACACAAACTGAATAACAATGGATATAATGATGGAGTGAGTGATTTTGGATATTAATCACCTGATAATTTCTTTGATGTCAGAAAACAATTTTATGCACCCCCAGTTTTCTTCTTTTTTATTATTCTATGTAATAACTTAAAACAAAAAAAATAATTTTATTCGGTGTTGATCAGATGTTTATATTGTTAATTTTCTTTGAGATCTTGTAAATAGAACATGGTTTAAAGGGCAGCCATTTTTAGTCAATACACTAAGTTCTCATATTACTCTTTTTTTTTTTTTTTTTTGGCTTCAGTTTCATTAATGTATTAAGAGGCAGTATAATTTGTATTTTTTTTTATTTTTCACTATATGCTGACATACCAAAAAGTAATTTTATAATGTTTAATAATTTTTTTAGTATTGAAAATTTTGTAATATTTTCAAAAAACAAACAAACAAAAAAAAAAAAACTCAAATTTAGAATACAAGCTAAAACGTAAAGTAACAACAAAATTTAAAATTCACTTTTGAGAATCATGTCAAACAATATTTTGCAGTTTTCAAGAATTACCATATTTAGACATATAATAACCCAATTTCAATAGGGCAAATAGGATGCAGGTTAGTAAACCTGTCTATGATATTTTTAAAAAAAAAGCGTCAAATATGGTCCTTAATCTTGCTTTTTTATTTTGAAACATTCAAATAAGTTTTAAAATGTTAAATTTAATGTTTTTACCAAAGTAACTTTATATACAAAAGATTTTTTTTATTTGACTAAACTTTTCGCAAAAAAAAAATGAGTGACCACCAAATTTATAGCTAATATCATTTTGAAATGTATGATGTTTGATGGAAAACACAAGATAAAATGCTTAATTTCAGACATGGAAAATATTTACCAGCTACAGAGAAAAGTCTGAAGTGAAAGTTAAATAAATTCTTGAATAATTTTAAGACTTCAGCATTAGTTAATTTGAAGAACTGTAAAAAAAAATAGTAAATATTTTACCATTTTTGAACTTGCTCATCGTTCAGAGGAGGTTGGGTGGCTTTTTTGGTGGGAGTAACCAGAAAAGTTTTATGCTATTTGGCTCTCAATTAAAAAAATTTTTTTCCTTTGCAACTTTTTGACCATTTTCGAAAATGTCATTCTGCATTTACAAGATTACCAGATCCAAAAAGGGCATTGTAGAATTGTATGTATAAAAATATTCAGAAGTTTGAATTTGAAGAATAGTTTATATTCTAGTTAATACTGGTCTCCCCATAAAGTTGGAAAGGAAAAGGTTCATGAACACTGCTATCAAATATTTAGCATAGTTGTTGGTCAAGAACAGGCCTAAAAAAAAGCGTATATGGGCGGTTCCTGTGTATAGGATGCAGGTTATATATCCTGTATATATATATATAATATTTTCTATATAAATTTCTAAGTGGTTTTCTAGTAACCGTACCACGATAGCAGTAAATGTTATTTAATACTGTTTATCATAAACAAGAGCATTTGCATTACCCTTAAATACTTGTATCTATAAAAGCTAACAACGTTAAATTCCATCAAAATAATATATATATATATATATATATATATATATATATATATATATATATATATATATATATATATATATAAAAAAATTTAAAGATTTGTAAACTTTTATGATGCAATAAAAACAGTGGAAACCTGAAGTCTTGTTAAATACAAAAAACCCAACTCTTAAGATACGGGCACTTTGACATGATCTAATGGTTTGCAAACTTATCTCGCTAGATCAGTTATGATTGAATAGTGAGTTCAATCCTCACTGACTGCCTCATACTTTTGGCCTTGTGCCATATCAATGCTATGCTTTGAAAATTATCTTACCATTTGAAGATACCATATTTACCTGCATGGAAGTGATACATTTGAATTTTTTTTCTTTTTTAAATCTTGCAATTATCATACTGCATCTAATGAGCTTAAAATAGATAAACATTTGAAATTTCTGGACCATATTAAGGAAAGAAAGCTTGGCAAATTTGACACTAACAGGGCATATTGGGTGCAAGAGAGGAAACAACTTACCTAACAAGCTTGTGTAAATGTCTGCCAGAATGGTGTGGGAGGGATTGCAAGACAAATATTGCTAAGAGCTACAAAAGATAGGAAGCTGTGGGGAGCCGAGATTGCCTATAACCAGAAAGGATATGACACATAGAAGAAAGCAGAAGTAAGGGAAAGAACAAAAGTGATTGATTTGAAAAAAATCCTAAAACCAAATTATTTCCTGTTTGAAAAGAAGACTCAGGTTATTGTTGTCTGCATATTTAGTCAGTTTGAAACCATTTTCGAAAAAAGACATTCTTGGGCAGGCATGCAGTTATTCATTATTCTGAATTATATTTTCTGTATGTCCGTCTCATGGTTTTGATTGCTCAGAAAATTCAGGAGGTGATCAAGTTTGGCTTGTTGAAACTGTACATGTTTATTTTGGAGTTTCATATTTCAATGTTTGTTTTTTTTTTGTTTTTTTTTTAAAAGAATATTTTTTGCTTCATTGTGTTTTTGAACTCCAGAGTGCTAAGTTTTGTTAATTCCATATATTTTATTTACTACTGTCTTAATCAATTTTGTTTGCCTCTGAAACATAACGTATGTTTTGTCAGGTATGTCTTTAAATATTACTCATGCCTCACCTGCCGTTCACAAAAACAGCACCAGTTAATAAGATCATGGAACCAGTTGATAGTTCTATGGCAGGAAAAGAAGTTTTTGGCAAGATTGGACAATAAAAAATAATTTTAATCTAGAAATTGATCCTTGAATATGAAAGGCATTCAGGAGGTTGTTGAAATGAATGCCCAATTCTGTGACACAAAAGTCACAAATATATAATAAATATATAAATATCAAGGTGATTATACTTATGTCTAATAGCCACTTCTGCTTACAGAGATATGGCTGGAAAGACTTAATAAAAATAGACTCTGAAACCTTAAGGGGAATTTCTTGGTTATAGGATCAGGCATGTTGATATTTAATAAGTGCTCAGCTATTGTTGGACCAGATGTAACACACCTATACAAATTATGTAGATTGCCTTTCTAAATATTGTCTGATATATGTTGATTAATCCTTTCTTCCAACCTTTAACCTGTTCTACATATGTAGTCCGCTTCATGCAGTAGAACATCTTTCGGATCAGTCTTAACATTGGTTGGACAGTAATATAGATTTATATATTAGATTTATTCTTTATAATGAAAACCTTTCACTTTCATGTAAAAAACAGAGATTCTATTAACAAAGTGTATGTATACTTTGAACACACACAAGCATATCTTGTTATAAATGTATATTTTACTTTATCATTTTTACTTACTTTACCGTATATACATTTTTTTTTATTGCTTATTAACCATGAAAAAAAATATTTGCATTTTTGAGATTTTTATTTAAAATTGATGAAACAAATGACAGATATTGTTTTCAAAGAATGGATTAAAAAATAATTTTGAAATTTTCCAAATGCATTTTTTTTTTTTTTTTTTTTTTCAATATTTTGGATTTGAACAGGATTGATTGTTCTCATGACTGTCTTAAAATAAAATAAAAATTCAAAAAATGTTAAATTTAATTTTTGTTGTTTTAAGTGAGTTTAATTCATTAATGTCTCTTGAAAAAAAGAAACCTAAGTATTTCTGCAGTTGGAGGTTTGAAGGTTGAATCAGATCAGGCTTCACTGAATCTTTTGTTTGCTTTGTGTTGGTTTAGAACCCCTGAAAAAACCAATGTACAAAAGTGACATTGGTTTTTATATAAAAAGATAAGTTATTAGCACCGATAAATGTTTTCAAAACAGAAACTATAAACTGGAATTGGAATGAAAGCAATGATGGCTACATTCTGAATCTATCATCTTCTGCAAATATACCCATATATAGACAAATATCTTGATGTGCATCTTTGCAATTATCTAAATATAAGAACTTGGAGGTTGCAACAGACAATTCTTCATCCAAATCCTACAAAGATATATCTAGCCTTGGGGAAGATTCTATTAAATATAGTTTTGTTCCATACAATGGATATAAAACATTCATCCCAAAATCACTGAGTTCCTGTAATAAAGGGTCGATTGAACCAGAAAACCTTTAGAAGTGCCCTATACGGGGCCTTACGAAGTTCTAATGTTGTCAACTAAAAATTTACCCCAGTGAGCGAAATAAAAGGTTCAGTTCGACATTCCAACCACCTGAAGAAGAACGGCCGAAACATTGTAATAGATATGGCGACAAAGATGAGGACAATAGTACGAATAATGTAAATAGTGTACATAATACCTCATCTCAGAAATATAGACAGATAAAAATTTCATGATTGTTATGAACAATGGAACTCATGCACAGGTATCAATTGATAGGTTAAAACCTTATATCGGACTTACTCAAGATAAAATAAATCCCAGTAAAACACAAAAATGAGTTCATGACTGATGAAGAAAATAATACAACAACCAACAAAAATGTTGATAATAGTAGCGATACTAATAAAACTAAGGAAGAAAAATAATGACTACTTCTATATTTCTTTCAACTCACTAGCTCTGTTTTTGGTGGAAACTATGTGTAGTGAGCATCTATAAAAAATAAAATTTGAAAATAACTAATATATATATATATATATATATATATATATATAAAAAAATTAAAAGTCAAAATAAGGCATTTGATTTACTTTAAAACCCTTTTCTCTTTTTCTCTCTCTCACCAAACTTCTTTCTCTATACTTCTCAAGTAATGAGAAGGCAACTCTCAAATATAAAAAGCGGAAGAAGAAAAGACTGAACCCAGCTGAAAAAAATGACAGAAGTTTGCTGGATCAGAGTGTAGCCATTTGTGACTAGAAATATATCAGAATCAGAGATGCTCTACATATAACTTCCAATAAATAAAAAAAAAAAAAATTGATAATAAAAAAAAAAAAAAAAGGAATACTGGAAAATAAAATAATTTTGACCAATCAAAAATATTAACTCTTTTGATGTTAGTTGAAACCAAGCTTT